GTGGTGGTGCACGCCTGTAATCCTAGCACTCTGGAGGCAGAGGCAGGAGATTGCCTCAGGTTTTTTGTTTGTTTGTTTGGCTGCTCAGGCTGCCTTAGGGCAGGTCTAGTGAGACATGGGAAGCTAGGTATGGAACCACGGTTCCCTGCGCCTGACTGGGTTTGCCCCAGCAGGCACTTAAACAACTAAGCTAACCAGCAAGCCACCCTGCCTGGAGTTTGAGGCCAGCCTGAACTACAAAGGGAGAGCCTGCCTCAAAAAAGAGAGAGAGACTTTCAAGCCAGTGTGATGGTAACACTTGGAATCCAAGCATCCTGGGACATTGAGTTCAAGTCCAGTGAGGGCAACCGAATAAGACCCTGTTTCAAAATAAAAATTGAAAAAATTCAAGGCCAGCCTAGCCAACTTTGTGATTTAGTGAGACATTATCTGAAAATAAGAAAAGTTCAGAAAGCATTATAAAGCAGTTGGAAGTCCCTGAGTTCAATCCCAAGTTTTCAGGAGGATACCAAGGGCTAATGGACACTTTGCTGGAAGCACGTAGCAACTCAAGACCCACTTGGAGCTCACCGCCAGCTGACTGTGTGTATTGGACATGACACAGGGAAGTAGAGCACAGGGGCTTCAGTGCCCTCGCAGCCCAGTCCGAGTTTGGGCTCTTGTCATGGCTCCAGGCAACTGAACTGTGTAACCTGACACCTAAGCAGGCAGCATGTACAAGTTCAGATACCCAGAGAATTAAAGTCAGTCAGATGGAATGGGGTAATAGGCTATGTATTATAGTTGGATATGTTGTGTTAATAGGCTATATGAGTGACATGTTCACGAAGTTGAGACAGGTGTGCTTATCTTTCTGTAAGGTAGGGGAATTCAACCCAGGGTCTAACACTGAACCTTCTCTACAGCCTGTTCTTTAATAATAATTTAAATTTTTTTTTTTTAATTTTAGGGCTGACCAAATAGCTCAGCAGATTAAAGCACCTGCAAGCAGGCACAGGGGCCGGGGTTCAGTCCCCGGCCTGCCATGCTGGCCCCACCCCTGGGGTGCCCTGAGATGGCAATTGAGACTGGGTGTGGTGGTCTGCCCCTGTAATTCCAGCTCTTGGGAGGCTGTAAACGGGAGGATCACTACAAGTCCAATCTGTGTAGTGAGACCCTGAACACCCTGTAGCCCTTCCCTAAAATACAAAAAAAATAAAAAATAAAATAATAATAATAATAATAATAATAATAATAATAATAACTTAAAGTCTGTGTCTGAGTCGCCCAGACTGGGCTCAGACTTGCCTTTCTCCTGCCTCAGCCTCCCAGAGTGCTGGCTTATAGGTGGACACCAGTACACCCACCAGGTGTACTTTAGCTGGTTGCTGTGTAGCACATGTCTACGGAATGATTCCAGCATTCTAGTTGGAATCGCATTTCCACACCACGACATACAATTTGTATCTTCTCTTGTTTTCTTTCTTTCTTTTTTTTTAACCTGGTTTTATTCTCACTCTCCCATATTCTCACGATTCTTCAAAGGTCGACACCTTCAGCCATATGGCAAACAAAACTAACACCAAACCTTCCATCCCACGCCTCTCCTCTGCTCCTCAGATTGCTTTTTACCTCTCACATGTCTGAGAGAACATGAACAGGTGAGGTCCAGAGAAGAGCTGCAGAGGACCCTGGGGAGGCTCGGGGCCTATGCCGCCGAGCTATCTCCTGGCCCTGCACTGCTGTTCTGTCATTTAGCTCGGGCCTGGACTGCAGAGCAGCTACCATCGCTGCAGGCTATGCTGTCAGGCAAGCGTGGTGGGCTGGAAAGGTGGAAAACAAGCAACTCCAGTAACTGTGACCAGAGGGGATTCTCCCAGCATTTGGCACATAATATTTTCTGTGTTCAGGCTTAGGAAAGCTCTCCTTGTCAGCCCCCCTGGAGCAGACATGATTTAAGATAAATGGAAGAAGCTAAAACCTCACGAAATTTCTAAGAGGCACTTACGCCCCCCCCCCCTTTTTTTTTTCCAGAAGTTTTTCTAACCTGATGCCTTTTAAGGCTGGGGAAGTTTTTCAGAGCCTGCAGGGTTCGAATGAGAAACCCTAGTATGTGACTGTGCTACTTCCAGTGAGACTGACGTTACAGAGTAAGACAGATGGGATTTAAAAAAGAAATGACCCAAGTACAGGAAACGAGGACAGAATTTCTGCTGCATTGAAACCGTTCTGTCCCAGGAAGTGAAAAGCCTCTGGCATGGGGGCTGGGGGGTGGGCGTGGGACTCTTACTGTCCCTCAGGACCCAGCAGGCGCTGGCCTAGATCATTCCCACACTGGGAATAAGCTCTCTGGGCCCCCCATTCCTTGCCCCCACCCCACTGCTCAGGTGGCCCATGTCAGAGGGAAAGTTTGCACTATCACTTAGCTTGGTATACTTAAGACTTCAGGATCCATGGACTAAGATTGGTTTTTAAGAACCACTTGATGAGCTTCCTAAATTGTGCCGGCTCAGGAGCCCTGGGAAGCTTGTATTCCCCAGACAATTGTTAAGTCAAAGGAGGTGGGTCTGCCTCCATCTGCTAAATGATCAGGGGATGGCACCAGTGGGTGACATTTACCAGATCCTCAACTCAGGTGCAACTGCTACAGCGCAGAGAACAACAGCCCTTTTAGTTAATGGGGGCGGGGGGGGGGCAACGGACTGAGATAGCTCA